ATTGTCCCTTGCTTGTAGTGTCGTTTTTCTAAATTAAGAAAATACTTGGTGTTTTTCTCTCCTTCATTATACCATTTAGACTTAGATCTCAAAATTGCGCCATTGGTGCGGATTTCAATTATCTTTTCAAGCTCAAGCCTGCTTTCATTCAATTACATAATCTTGCCTGGCGTAGAAAATGTTACTCAAGGAATAACGCGTGCATTCACTTTCAAAATTACATTTGTCGAGTAACTTGTCAAACACAAGTAAAGTGTTTCATTAGGATATAAAAACACAGATAAGCGAGTTGAAATAACGTGTGGTAGCACATTTTTCAATACCTACGGGAATCATGGGAAGAATCTTGGTAAGATTTACTAAGGGAATCTTAGCAAAAATCTTGCTAAGATTCACTACCGGAATCTCAGCAAGAATCTTGGCAAGATTTATTCCCCGAATCTTGGCAAGAATCTTAGCAAGATTTAGTACGGCAATCTTGGCAAAAACCTTGGCAAGATTTAGTACGGCAATCTTCCCAAGACTCTTAGTAAGATTTACTACGAGAATCTTAGTAAGAATCTTGGTAATATTTATTACGGGAATCTTGGCAAGATTTATTACAGGAATCTTGGCAAGAATCTTAGTAAGATTTATTAAGAGAAAATTGGCAAGAATCTTGGAAAGATTTACTATGAGAATCTTGGCAAGAATAATGGTAAGATTCAATACGAGAATCTTGCCAAGAATGTTGGTAACATTCACTTTGGGAATCTTGGCAAGAACCTTGCCAAGATTTATTAAGGGAATCTTGGCATAGATTCTTAGTAAGATTTACTATAAGAATCTTGGCAAGAAATTTGGCAAGATTTACTACGAGAATCTTAACAAGAATCTTGGTAAGATTTACTATGGGAATCTTGGCAAGAATCTTGGCAAGATTTACTTCGAGAATCTTCGCAAGAATCTTAGTAAGATTTATTACGAGAAACTTGGCACGAATCTTGGAAAGATTTACTTCAAGATACTTCGCAAGGAACTTGACAAGATTTATTACGCGAATCTTGGCAAGAATCTTAGCAAGATTTATAACGGCAATCTTGGCAAGAACCTTGGCAAGATTTATAACGGTAATCTTGGCAAGAATCTTAGTAAGATCTACTACAAGAATCTTGATAAGATTTACCACGGGAATCATGGCAAGAATCTTAGTAACATTTATTACGTGAATATTGGCAAAAATCCTGGTACGATTTACTAAGGGAATCTTGGTAAGATTTATTTCTAGAATCTTGCCAAGAATGTTGGTAAGATTTACTACGAGAATCTTAGCAAGAATAATGGTAAGATTTACTACGAGAATCTTGGCAAGAATCTTGGTAAGATTTACCACGGGAATCTTGGTAGAATTTACTTCAAGAATCTTGCCAAAAATCTTAGTAAGATTTACTACGAGAATCTTGGCAAAAATCTTGGTAAGATTTACTACGGGAATCTTGGTAAGATCTATTTCTAGAATCTTGCCAAAAATCTTGGTACGATTTACTACTAGAATCTTGGCAAAAATCTTGGTGGGATTTACCACGAGAATCTTGGCAAGAATCTTCGCAAGATTTATACGGGAATCTTGGCAAGAAAATTGGCAAGATTTAATAAGAAAGAAAGTTCAATGATGGAGGCATGAAAAACGTTTAATGGGTCATGAAATAAATACTGAATTTGATTTGTGAGTCATGAAAAATGTATGAATGATTTCATGGCTCATTAATTTCCCATGAAAATACTGATGAGGAAAGCAGTGCCACTGTGAATCAATGCCTTGAATAAATATTTAACAACTTTGCAGCAAGAACACTGCCTTCCATAATATTCACAAAATGTACATGTATTCAATAAATGAAATAGTACGTTTTGGGTTGTACGAGAATTAGCTATACCCTAACGAAACTAGTACTTTGGGCTGCACTATTAACAGTCAACTTTCAACAGGACAGATCCACTCTGAGACCAGCTAGCACAACATCTAAGTTTTTGTCTATTGTATGAATAGTTAAAGAAAAAGACAGACACATGTATGAACAGGCTCCAAGAACCCGGTTAAAAGAAAGTTGACTGTACTGAACATGTATGTGCTACTCAACATGAATTAAACATGCAATGTAAAATACCATTCAGATGTGTATACTTATTATACACATCTGAATACACTGTATATAAAAAAAATACCAGCGAAATTCTGTCCATGCATGTAGAGGTATACACTATCTACTGCATGGTTCGATTATAAAATGTTTTCATCTGCTAAAGAGAAAAAAAAGGAGTTAAATATTACCACTTGGAATGAACCAACCTTTACTTCCTGTGGAGAATGCTTTTTTAGTTGTTCTACTGAAGCACCCTTAATGAGGAAGAGTGTGGTCATGTATCAAAAAAGGAATATCCCATAAACTAGTCTTGAACCGAGATATGATCACAGGGTCAGATCATCTACTTTCTATTTGTTAAACTGAATCACCAGTATAAAAACTAAATTCTTCTGATAAATCTTTAACACTCTGCAAATTATGTAATGTAATCAATTTTTGTTAAAAATGATTTGGATGATTTAAGTGTAACTTACGTGATTAAAAATACAGTGTTCAGGCCGTTTTATGTATTACACAAAGCACAAAATGTAAACAAGATTTTTCCTGGCTTTCATGATAATGTAAAAGCTATCATGTCAAGAGGCAAGAGCTGGCCTGGGTTGAAAAGTGCATGCTACATTTCTAAAGTACAGAAGTACAGTTACAAATAATGTTTCAATAAAGAGACATCTTCAAAGGCCAACAATACTATTTTATTGAAAAAAGGTAACCAAAATTTAGCAATAACAGTGAGTACTGTACATTTTGAACATTATTAATAGTTTATGGTAGTACCCTGAATTTTCAATCCAGTTTAACATGTAGAAATACAGTCATGTACTTGCTGTAAACATACACTTAGGAGGCTAGCAAGACATTTATGAAAAAAAAAAAGAAAAAAAATATATATATATATATATCAATAAAGGATTCAAATCAACATATGTAGTCCATTCTCCTTTGTACAAACTATATATAATTCATTTGTGTTATGTTATATATATATATATATATATATATATACATATATTATTCAGTTAGATGTTCACCGGCGAAGCCAAGACCGTGCTCTACTTGCAGTGAAGGAGCGGAATAGACCAGTAGGTGAACTACTCAAATCCTGAGTGCATGGGTGTTTAATACAAGCCTGTTTCGTAGGCCACCGAAAAGGTGACCCACTCTTCAGTTAAACTCCATTATAACACTGACTACATCCAGAAGAGACTCTTAGACTTCTTCTTATTTTAAACGTCTAACGGAAAATGTGATAGATGACACTATCATCTCCTGCTCGCGCCCGCGCGGGTCTTTCGGTTCTGGGCGTAAAAACCATCATCCTCATTAAGTCCTTGAGGGCACAGCGTTCCCAATCTATACATCCACTCTCCCTCCTTCTTCCGCAACTCCCTCTCTCCCATGGCTCTGTCTATTAACTGTATAGTTAAATGGCTTAATCCTAAGTGTCCCGAAAATGCTGGTAGGGAAAATCGTCATTCCTCTTATTTTCAGAAGACA